TCTATAGCCGCGTGTCACCTCTCCAGCCGGGAGAGCGCGTGCAGGGCTAAAGAAGCCCCCCGCGACCCTCTCCCGGCTGGAGTGGTGACGCGCGGCTATGGCAGGAGCCTCTATAGCCGCGCGTCACCTCCCCAGCCGGGAGAGCGCGCGCGGGGCTAAAGAAGCCATAGCCCCTGCGACCCTTTCCCGGCTGGAGAGGTGATGCGCGGCTATGGCAGGAGCCTCTCCGCTGCGCCTTTCCGCTGCTCCCTGACCTGCTCTTTGGGGCTGGTGGTGGGCTTCCCCCCGCCAGCCCCAAAGAGCAGGTCGAAAGGAACCTGAAGCCTGGAGAGCGAGAGGGGTCAGTACACACTGACCCCTCTCGCTCTCGAGGCTTCCAAGGTAGCCGCCTGAACGGCACCTTGTTTTAGAGCGGGAAAACAAGAGGGGGAAAGTTCTCCCCCTCTCTGCGCAGCGCCTCGCTGAAGGGGCGCTTGGCAGAGAGGGGGAGATTTTTTTTTCTTGTTCTCCCCCCTCTAAAACAAAGTGCGTCCTATTGTCCGGTGCGTCCTATGGTGCGAAAAATACGGTAAACTGATGATAGCAGCCTCCAACATTCCTAGTTGATCGCAAGCAAAGGAGGTGCTAATACATCAGTCCATTGTGCTTCTTGTTCTTTCTAGGAACTTCTGTCCTAGAGGAGAATTGGAGACTCTTAAGAGTTGCTTCTCTTAAATACACAGCAATACTCCATGTTTGGAACCCATGACGGAATTGACCTAGGATTTTCTTTAGGCACCTACATTTTAAGAGTGGATTTTCCTGGAAAAAAAACAGAAGTCTAAATCTTTTTTATTTTTCTTCTCAAAAGTAACTAACTTTACATATCCTAGATTTGTAACATCTTTTACTAATACATACAGTCTGGTATTTCAGCCTTCATCTAGTTAACATGTAAAATAATTTTATGCGGCAAAGAACAGATTTTTAAGTTTTTCACCAGAAAGCTCTCTTGGGGGGCAGCTGGCTTATGCCATAAGCATCAGAAAATCTTCAGAACTTTCTTTATATGAATTCTGCTTGAATCTCTAACCACAATGGTTTCAAGGACCATTTTGGATTTTGTTTCTAGGGTCTAAAGAAGATTTCTACTTGAATCATGAGATATTGCAACTTTCTTATATCAGAAGAGAGGAAAATTTCATTCTCTTGATGTCAGGTAAATTATGAAATAACTGTTAAGGTCAGACTTGAACTTGACTACAAACCAGTGTGTGGATGCTGAAAAGATTTAGTATACATAGGCTACTAGACGGAGTAGTGTCTCTTGGAGACTTAACACACAAATTCCTATCGATTTTCGTAAAAATATTGCTGTTTAGCCCTGCTGTTTCTTCAGGAAATGTTCCACTATACATTTGTCTTGTGCCTGTTTTCCGAACTGTTGGCAATTAAGTTCATTGTTATCATACTGCCTGTTGGGTTGGATTACAAAACAGGCATTCAAGTTTGATATATCCTGTATGGAACAAAATCTCAGTGAACACTTCATGTCTTTTAGATGCAGTCCTGTGCCCATTTATATGGGATGATGTCCCACTTACTTCATTGTGACTTATTTTGAGTAGATATGTATTAACAAGGGTGCCAACTTGAATGAAATATTGTGGGGGCCCAGGTAAGCCCCACCCCACAATTGATCACATGACATGACACACTCAACATTTGAATAGCAATGCCCTGGCCCCTTCAAATATTTTATTGGTGGGCCAAAGCCCCCTTGGCCCCTAGGAGATGGCTCCTATGATGTATATAAGATTGTGCTGTACATCTATAAAATATACCTTGGGGAGTGTATGTGTGTGTTATGCTTTTCCTGCAGTACTTATTCAATTTGTGGCATTTTTGAACTATTTTGAACCAGTGACATGCTTGGCTTTGTCTGAGGGTTGCCTAGAATTATTAGCAGTTTTGACCAGTTCTGCTTCCGATAATCCATGGTAATCACAATTGATGAACTTTACCTGTTTGTGAGTACATAGAATGTAATCAGTTGAGTATTGGTTGATTAGCCACTAGGGTATCTTTAGACTTGAATGTCTTATTGGACTGTCTAATTGGATGCCAGTGGTCCTTTGTTAACCTTATTCTGCAGTTAACATAGAGCCAGCTCAAGACCCTGGGTCTTTGAAGACTGCTGTAGAATATTTTATTGCGTTTTAGGTGATCTACATAGACATTTCCTCCTAGATTAAGAATCTTATACAGTGGTACCTTGGTTCTTGAACCGAATCCATTCCGGGAGTCCGTTCGACTCCTGGAACCATTTGAAAACCAAGGCACGGCTTCTGATTGGCTGCAGGAGCTTCCTGCACTCAAGCGGAAGCTGCGTTGGACGTTCAGCTTCCAAAAAACATTCGCAAACCGGAACACTTACTTCCGAGTTTGCAGCGTTCTGGAGCCGATTTGTTCAGCAACTAAGCCGTTCAGGAATCAAGGTTTGACTTTACCTCTGCTTCACAGCCTGTTGTTGTTGTTTAGTCGTTTAGTCGTGTCCGACTCTTCGTGACCCCCTGGACCAGAGCGCGCCAGGCACTCCTGTCTTCCACTGCCTCCCGTAGTTTGGTCAGACTCATGCTGGTAGCTTCGAGAACACTGTCCAACCATCTTGTCCTCTGCCATCCCCTTCTCCTTGTGCCCTCCATCTTTCCCAACATCAGGGTCTTTTCCAGGGAGTCTTCTCTTCTCATGAGGTGTTGGAGCCTCAGCTTCAGGATCTGTCCTTCCAGTGAGCACTCAGGGCTGATTTCCTTAAGAATGGATACGTTTGATCTTCTTGCAGTCCACAGCTAGGTGGCTTTAAATATATGTTATTTAAATACTAGAATAATAACTAGAATAATAAAGCAGGTTAGTGTTGCTCCAGGCACTAAAGGAGCTTCAGAAGTTTTCTCATACAGCCAAAAGAGCCTGCTGTATGGAAGCCCCTTTCCACGTCTCAACATTACTTGTGACTTGGAATTTAAATGGTTCTCATGATCATTCTATCAAATCTGTTTTTGTAAAGGTCTGTCTTGGTCAGCCAGGCAGCAGCTTCATTTGTCTTGTCTTGCTGTGGGGAGGGGATTTCAACTACTGTGTGTGTAGCTACCATGCATTGTATATTTTAATCTATTCAATATTTTTTGGCTAATAGGATGCATTCCCACGTTTACCTCAGTCAATAGAAACAATAGTCAAAGTATCAAAATATCAAGGACTGCCTTTCATGCATATTGTAATCTATTCTGCTTTACCAGTTCTCAGTCCTGACTCAATCAGTTCTTCACTTCTAGCAGAAAAAACAGGGAGGAAAAAAACAGCTCTCTGCTTGATGCACAGGTTCACCAATTTCCTTTTCTTGTGGGGAGTTTGAAAATACCCTTTCCTTTGCATTTCTATCCAAATTTGAAGGCTGCTTACCTTTCCTACTGAAATTATTGTGGCTTTCTTTTTAATAATAACTGTAAGTAACATAACTTTGAAATATGTGTCAGTATGTCTTAAACCAGGGCAACTAGTGTAGTACTCAATTCCTTTAATTTTAAACCATTTTGTTACTGGGATGCTGCTTTAACAGAATATTCCATATTCTTAAATATACTGAAAAGATTACATTCTAACTGCCGGTGATAGCTTCTCTTTATTAGATTGTAAGTTTTTTTCCACTTGAATGAGAACGTCCTCTCCTTTCAGAGTTGTCAAAGCTACTTGATGTTTTGTGACATGTAAGTTAGTTTAACTGGTTAAAAGCCAACAGTTTAATTTTCCTTGTAAGGAGCTCCCAGGCTTGCTAACAAAAAGACTTTCTTGTTAGCAAACAAATTGTGATCCTCTTTTGCATTTGATGGATACTGGGGTTTTTGAGGTGCACCTCCCTACCAGGGGGAACTGTTGTCTCATGAGACTGGGAGAATAGGTTTCGAGGATAAGTAGTACATTTGAAACTGGACAGGAAGGAAGCTGTTTGCATATTCTTGGGGTCTTACACCGTTTTCATAGGGGTAATAGGAGCGGCTATATTCCATGCTAATGGAGGCGACCTGAGGTGCATTTGCTGCTTTCTTGTGCTGGGTATCTAAAACTCAGCTTAATATACCTTCATAGACAAAATGGAGAACCTTTTGGATCAAGGCACTAAGAACGTACTTAGTTTGGCAGACAAATATAGTTATTTAGAAATACCAGCATCCTGAAAGCACTTCCCTAGGATGGGTAGCATTACAGATGTTGGGAAAGCCCCATTGTTAGAATAACATTTGAGATACTGGTCTGCCTCCTTCAAGACTGTTTCCTGCCTCTTGTATATGTAGGTAGAGCTTGATCCAGTACTTTGCAAGTTGTAGTTCTGTTCTGATTAGCTGTTATTGGGCCAGAGTTTCTGATACGGTGGTTCACCCAGTGCTTGGAGCATTGATGGTGGTGAGGTCACCAATGGCATCTTCAGCTAGTCTCTGATTAATTATAAAGGATTACTCTTTGCAGTCTTTAGCCATAACCTGGAAATCCTCTTCATGTGTAAGAACTATTTTAATTGAGCAATAAACCTGTCAGGAAATTCATTCTGCATCCGGACATTCTATTCTGCATGAAGCATGTTTCACACAGCTAATTGTACACATAATTTTCTTGTTCATTCATTGATGACCTATGAAAGTTAATGCTATTACCAGCCTTCTTGCTTCAGTGTTTCAGTTGAAGTAGTCAATTGAAATGGCTAGTGTAGCATGGGTCAAAGGGCATTTTTACAGGTGAGTTCTGAATGCATCAGTGAACAAGGGCCTATTGCTGAAAGCTTGGGGAAAAGGGCCTTTTCAGTGATGACAACCCATTGATGAAACACCGTCCCCAGGGAAGTTCTCCTTGTCCCTACCTTATATATTTTAATATAAAGAGAATATTAGAGAATATTATTTTCTATTCAAATGTAATAATAAAGGGTTCATTTATTACTGCTTTGCTTTATTTGTGTTTCGTCTTAGGTGTAAGACAAAAGTATATCCAGATAACCTTCCTACAACAAGTGTTGTAATTGTCTTTCACAATGAAGCTTGGAGTACTCTCTTGCGAACTGTACATAGTGTCATCAACCGGTCACCGCGACACATGCTGGAAGAAATTATTCTGGTAGATGATGCTAGTGAAAGAGGTAAGATTGCATAAGGTGCAGTTTGGGCATATTGCAAACAAAAATGAAATAGCGGTTGCTGATATGATTGTAGTTACTGGACAGATTAGAGCAGTTTTCATCAGGTGAAAATGAAATGCCTGTTTTGATAGGTAGAGTGTAAATATTTATATTTGAGAAAGCCTTCTTTAAGTCAGTTGCATCTGGTAGAGGAATTGATTCAAGTTATAGATAGCAATGGGGAAGTGCGGTGTTGCAAAACACTTTGAGCATAACTTTGCAGGTCTGCAAACCCCATTTTGGCTGGGCCAGGTCTTTTTTACTTTCCCTAAACCTGACATCATATATGATGGCTGGTCCACAGTGCTTGACCAAAATGGCCTGGCAGATATAAATAGATCCATAGATCATTGGTTCCCCACACCTGTTTTAGAGTAATCATAGCACTGATGTGTTTAATATTGAATTCATTATTATTTAAGAGAAATGCAGTATTCACACTTTTAAAAAATCAATTTTAAAAAAGCAACCTGATTCTTTTAGGTGGTTTTGTAATCGGTATTAGAAACTGGGATAGAAAAGCTAGGAGCGAAATGGCTTCTGGAACTTGGGTTGTGGGCGCCAAAACAAGAATGTCTAGTTGCCATTTTGGGGTGGGGCAGCAACTCTATTTATTATTTTAATAAGCATGAGCTAATACACAATTCTCGTAAGTGAGACATTGTTAATATCACATTTTTAACAGAAATTGTTAATACATGTTTAATTTGGTGTTTGCCATAAAAATATTGGTACCATACTTCATTTTTCAAAACACTCTACTCTTTATTGTTAAACTCCTTAACATATTGTCTATCCTTAATGTATACTTTGAAGCTTCAAAGCACATACATTTCAGTAATCCTTGAGTGTCAGCCAGGCGCAAAAAGCGGCACCTAGACTTTTTGAGGTGCTGACAAATGGAGAATCTGTAGGCACAAAATGCGCCTGGTGCCCTGCTAATTTTGAACCCTGTTTGTAATCATCAATTTTTTACTTACCATAGCCCTTATATAAACTTGTATAGCAAGTATATAACTTAATGTATCATCCATGCTTCTCTGTGCTAAAAACATTATCCATACAGGTACATAACATTCACTCTTTTGAATTTAATGAATTCATTAAAGCTACCCACTGGAAGCAGTCCTTTGAACACTTCACAGACTGCATATGTTGAAATAGAGATTACTCTATGCCAGGGTAAAGTAAATCACACTCTTCAAATAACCTAGGGTGCCCTTAATGCTCAAACATGCATGAAATGAATATTCATTAAATAGTGCCTGTTTAATCTCTAAATCACTTTTTAGTTGGGTTTTGCCGTATTGATAAGTACAGTGCATCCACATTCTATTTTTCCTTTGGAATTGTGCTAAACCTGCTTCTTAGGAGAATTCTTTTGTCTTATTTAGAATTATTATTATTATTATGGATTTCTTCATTGAAGCAATGTTTTAATAAAAAGCTGTTATATGAGCTTTGCTTTTAAGAGTTTTATAAAGGTAAAGGTAAAGGACCCCTGACAGTTAAGTCCAGTCGCGAACGAGTCTGGGGTTGCGGCGCCCTTCTCGCTTTACTGGCCGAGGGAGCTGATGTTTGTCCACAGACAGTTTTTCTGGGTCATGTGGCCAGCATGACTAAGCTGCTTCTGGTGAAACCAGAGCAGCACATGGAAATGCCATTTACCTTCCCACTGGAGTGGTACCTATTAATCTACTTGCACTTTGACGTGCTTTTGAACTGCTAGGTTGGCAGGAGCTGGGACCGAGCAACAGGAGCTCACCCTGTCACGGGGATTTGAACCGCCGACCCTCTGATCAGCTCAATGGTTTAGACCACAGTGCCACCCGTGTCCCTAAGAGTTTTATAGTACTTAAGTAAACTGTGTATAGTACTGTGTATAGTATAGTACTCTGAAACAATGTATATCTGACTCTTCAAGTTGTACATAGCTGCATAGTACTATATTAATGTTTTCCTTGATGGTGCTTCTGTGACTCACATGGAACGTTGTTTAAAATAAATTGGGTTTGAAGTTTATCAAACTGAAGGATGCAGACAGAAAATGCAATCTCTGTTTACATGCTGGTTAAATACTCTGTAAGTAGGAAATTAGGCTTCTACAAAAATTTCCTAATCTGGAGAGAGTGTGTTTCAAATTTTAGCAACAGTTGGCTGAACTGAATAAAGCAAACATTCAGCTTTACCTTTGTATCTGCTGCTGCCATATTCCCAGTAAAGTTGATTTGCATAATATTTCACTTTTGCAGTGGAAAAAGAAACATCAAGAATACAAGACTTACTCTTCGCATAATTTAGAAGTGCTAATTTTTCATTTAGAAGAAAAATAGTGGATAAATACCGATTAGTTGTTTTGCTTACATGTGGAAAAAGTCACCATCCTGAACCAGAAAAAGAGAGTTTTAATCTTCCATTAAAATCTGCAATTTGGAGCATAATGTGTGTGTCCTGGTTCTGTTCTTGCACAGTATTCATAGTATATTCAGTCTTAAATTTAGTGTTGATATCTGGATTGTTCTGCCCCCTTTTGACATTTAGACATAAGCCATTTTAAGAGTTCTTACTAAAATTATGAGTGTACATGTAGCTTGAATACTACATTTATTTTATCTTTTGTTTGCCATACTTTTTAGAGTTCTTGAAGAGACCCTTGGAGAACTATGTGAAGAAATTACGAGTACCAGTTTATGTGATTCGAATGGAGCAACGTTCTGGACTGATCAGAGCCAGATTGAAAGGAGCTGCTGCTTCTAAAGGCCAAGTCATCACCTTTTTAGATGCTCATTGTGAATGTACAGTAGGATGGCTGGAGCCACTGCTAGCACGGATAAAATTAGACAGGTGCTTATTTTATAAAACATGTTAAAGGTTAATACTGACTAATGCAGCTAATCTGTTTTTTTAAGCGTGACTCATCCATGGACATAGTGGGTAAACTTTATTAATCCTTAGAATATAAGAAATTTGTAGTAGAAGAATATTTGCACAAAGGATTAATTAAAGAGCAGTGACAGACCTTGGTAATCTTCAAATGCAGTATGGATGTATTGCAGATACAGTGGTACCTCAGTTTACGAACGTAATCCATTCCGGAAGTCCGTTCTTAAACCAAAGCCATTCTTAAACCGAGGCACGCTTTCCCTAATGAGGCCTCCCACCGCCAGTGCCCTTCCACCATTCGGATTCCGTTCTTAGACCGAGGTAAAGTTATTAAACCAACACACTATTTCTGGTTTTGTGGAGTTTGTAAACCAAATCGTTCTTAAACTGGACTGTTCTTAAACCGAGGTACCACTGTACAACTATATGTATAATTAATAACTGTGACACCTCAGATATCCTGCCATAGCCTGTTACTATTGTTTTTTGTGCTATGCTCATGCCTTGCAGCATGTTTCTCCGGAAATCAAACAACCTGTTCTCTGAGGTACATAGGAACCTACCATTCTACCAAGTTAAACCTTTGTTTCATTTAAGGATTTTCCTGCCCTAACTGCTAGCCCATCTGGCTCTGAATACAAATACCTTGTTTAGAGAGGTAACACTTTTGAATGTGGTTAATGTGAGCTTCAGTCTACTATCCTGCATTATTTAATTTCTAAGATTTCTTCTTTCTTCTTTTTATTTTTTTCCAATTTCCAATTTTACAATAATTGATACCTCATCACACATACATACATCATAGTTGGACTTCCCTCCCCCCTTTCTGTGGTTTCTTCTATTTTCACTTTTGATTTATGCATCTCCCCTATAACTCCTTATAATTGTTACTCTCAACTTTGAAAGTTTAATAGTTTAACTGCTCATCTTCAGTTAATCCTGCTAATGCAGTTAACTGTTTGCAATGATTTTTAAAATACTCCAGATAATTTCCCCATTCTTTTTAAAAAGTTCCCTCATCTTGGTTCCTTATTAGTCCAGTAAGCTTAGCCATTTCTGCGTAGCCCATTAATTTTTCCTGCCATTCATCCTTGGTTGGAACTGTATCTTATTTCCATCTATTATTTATAAGATTTCTTATCTACCCTTCACCCCACGTAGAATAGAAGTGACAGCTCTTGCAGATAAAGGACTATTTCAAGGTGTTTGATCATTACTTTGTTTAATAACATAGCATAGTTTCTTGTATTCTATGTTGCTGTGGTATAAAGTGAGCATGAGCCGGACAAAAACGAACCTTTTAAGCCCCATTGAAATAACTGAAGCTAGTTCAAAGACACTTGTAGATACTTAACATGAGCTGGATCATGCCTATCATGTACTAAAACTGAAACCTTTTCAGAGATGAACAGGAAATGAGATGCTCAATTTGTGGTATAGGGCTGATATTGTATGTAACAAGGGCTGTATTTTGTTCCTGTATTCTTGCCTTTTCTAATGGTCTATGCCATTTCTTTCTTTAGGAGAACAGTAGTTTGTCCAATTATTGATGTAATCAGCGATGATACATTTGAATATATGGCAGGTTCTGATATGACTTATGGTGGGTTCAACTGGAAGTTGAATTTCCGGTGGTATCCTGTTCCACAGAGAGAAATGGACCGAAGGAAAGGTGACAGAACCCTTCCAGTCAGGTAAAGGGAGCTGATGAGCATTATTGGGATATCCCTTCATGCATGTGTCTAATAATACAATCCAGGTTTACTCAGTTCCCAAGTCCATTTCTACATTAAAAAGAACTATGAAGGTGCAAGGAACTGTGAGGGAAATATGATATGTAATCAGCAACCATTAACTTGATTTAAAAAACCCCAGTAAATTAAGACACATCTTAGAAAGCCTGCTGAAACAGGTAGATCATACAACTCTTAGTAATAATAAGTAATTGCAGGTTAAACACTAGGAAGTGTGTTCTCCCTTAACTGTGAGCATCTACAGTGGTACCTTGGGTTAAGTACTTAATTCGTTCTGGAGGTCCGTTCTTAACCTAAAACTGTTCTTAACCTGAAGCACCACTTTAGCTAATGGGGCCTCCCGCTGCCACCGTGCCGCTGCTGTGCGATTTCTGTTCTCATCCTGAAGCAAAGTTCTTAACCCGAGGTACTATTTCTGGGTTAGCGGAGTCTGTAACCTGAAGTATCTGTAACCTGAAGCATCTGTAACCCGAGCTACCACTGTAGTTTGGACAGGGAGGTCCATTTCAAGTTAGTGATTAGTATGCCACCTTTTCTAAACCTGCGGCAGTGAAACAACGCTGTTTTGGCACAACATAACTTCTTCCTTAAACAGGCTCTGGTGGTTCTCCCCAACCCTCCAGAGCATGGTTATGGGGTGCACAAAGAGAGGAAGTGCTTGTGCAAACATAATTGCTTAACTGGATACTGCCTATGGAAATTAATGGACCTAAGTTAATCATGTATTAATTTTATTGATATTAATGTTCTGAGTTGGACTGGCATTAGATGCAGTTCAGGATGCTGCAACATACCTTATCCTTCAAATCTGTGCTGTACTCCCAGACTGGCAAATGCCTCCCTCTTTTTCACCCTCTGGCCCAATTTTAGCTATATTTTTGTTGGGATAGAGTTCACTGCTAAGAGTAATAAATGTAATAATAAATGTCAGAGTTGGATTTAAAACATTTTCATATTTCTTTAGGACGCCTACAATGGCAGGAGGCCTTTTTTCTATAGATAGGGACTATTTTCAAGAAATTGGGACATACGACGCAGGAATGGATATATGGGGAGGAGAAAACCTAGAAATTTCATTCAGAGTAAGTAAACTTCATTTTTATTCCCAGGTAGTGCAGCTTAGTTATGGTAGGCAGACATATTTTGAATGTTACCAGAGAAAAGATGCAAATTCTATCTTTCAACGATAGATTATTTTTTAAAATTAAAAACAAATTCAGGGAAGAGAGATAACAACAGCTGCTTTGCCAGAGTGCTTTGGTGCAGTACTGCAAAGCACATGGTTCACAGCTCTGATCAAAAGTTCTAGGATATCCCAGTATCTGCATGTGCAGTTGACTGAAGAATAGTTAAACTTGGGTAGAGCTGTCATGCTACCATTATGATGTTTCAGTAATACTGGTAAGTGCCCAATGTTCTTGCTGCAACAGAATGGTCTTGCTACGTAATCTGGATATGATTTCACATGGGCTGGAAGTGGGACATCTGTGATGAGTTCTCCATGAAATGGTGAAGGGTGATAACCACTGGTCAAGAGTGATGTGTAAATATAATTAGTAAAATCATAATGCAGAATTATTACTCAGGCAGTTATAGTTTGCATAGTAATCAGAACCTTTCTTTACCTAAAAGACAATAGAAATATGTTTATGGTGAACTCTTGACATTTTCAGATTTGGCAGTGTGGGGGAACTTTGGAAATTGTGACATGTTCGCATGTTGGACACGTTTTTCGAAAAGCCACTCCTTACACTTTCCCAGGAGGGACAGGGCAGATTATTAATAAAAATAATAGACGACTTGCAGAAGTTTGGATGGATGGCTTCAAGAATTTCTTCTACATAATTTCCCCAGGTAAGCAAGGAATCTTCAGCATAATATAGTGTCTTAAACTGATACGGTGAATGTATAAAGCCATCTTCTGCTTAGACTATTGATTCATCTAGCTCTGAAATGTGATGCTAATGCAGTTTTAGGCTTCATTAATAGAAACCATAGTTTCCATCTCATGAGAAATAATAGTTACACATCATTTTGTATTAGACAGACCTCATGTTTGGAGTATTGTGTCCAGTTGTCGAGGAGGACTGTGAGAAGGATGTAGAAAAATTAGAGAGCAACCAAGGTGGTCTGTGGGATTGATGAGACATCATATGAGAAAAGGTTATATGAACTGTGTATGTTTAGCCATGAGAGCAGAAGGCTTGAAGGGACCGAAGGGCTGTCACACAATAGAAAGGAATCTCTGCGACTCCGAAGCAGCAGGAACAGATCTGCAGAAGTAGAGATTTCAGTTGAACATTAGGAGAAACTTCAGTAAGAGTAATCCAGCAATAGAGCCATGTACCTAGGGATGGCGGGCTCTCTCACTGGAAGACTCCAGGTAGAGGCTAGACAGCCATGTATTGCAGATGCTTTAGCTCTAGATTTCCTATATTAAGCAGAAGGTTGGACTAGATTCTGTAAACATTTCTGTACTGTACTCTTCAAGATACTTGTGCTGTTACGGGGCTCAAATAAAGTAGCATCTTTAGGTATAATTCAAAGACTGTACCAAAATTACCCTGTTTGGTTGCAATTTCCTTGGAATGTTCAGACTCCTGCTACCTTATATTAAATGTTCATTTGTAGCTCTGTAAGCAATTTTCATGGAAATTGCTCTGTAGATAAGAAATTGATGCGGCATCAAAGTTTCAGATAAAACTGGTTGTAAGTTTTCCTTGTGATAGTAAGATACCTAGAACCTGTCCTCAGAGATCTGTGTAAAGATTACTCTTCTCACCCAGTCTAATTTTTTGTGCAGGTAATCTATTACTGTATTTATTCAATTAAAACTAACTAACTGAGATTCAATTCTCTGCAGGGGTTACAAAGGTAGATTATGGAGACATATCATCACGACTTGGACTTAGACACAAGCTGCAGTGCAAGCCTTTTTCCTGGTACCTAGAGACTGTTTATCCTGATTCCCAAATACCACGACTCTATTTCTCTTTGGGAGAGGTAACAATTTTAAGACCCATACAGTTTTGAGAACTCTTAATTAACTGTAGAATTCTTTAATATGCCTCAAGCGTTGAAGTAAAAAAATGTGTGTGAACGGCACACCTGTGCTTTTTTTTCTAATGTGCAAAGCTTTAAAGTTGGGGTAATAAGATTAAAGCAGATTTATTTCTCCCGTGTGTAAGTCTTTCTGTAATGCTGTAATAGAAGAATTCAAATCCTTAGGTCATATAAAATCTAAATTAATACTTGGAAGGAAATTCTTTTCCAGAAACAGGGAATTTGCATGCTGCTGCTAATGTGCACTGTGCTAACAGCTTCTAAACTTAAGTAACCACAGGCTAGTGGTGTAGCAGGGATTCTCAAGAGGAAAAGCTTGTTTTATCAAGTTCTTTTCCTCTTATTATGTTCAGCATGTTTCTATACTGCCTCTTTTGTAAATAAATTTTTATTAATTTTCACAGATAGTAAACAACAAAATAAAGATACAAAAATCAAACCACAATCTAACATTTGAACTTCTAATAAGGAATCCTACTATTTACAAGCCTTCTTTTGAGGTTCTTTAAACCTCAAGACTTCCTTCCAACCCCCTTCTACTGATTCTTTACATCTTACAACATTCTCTGCATTTTGTTATCATTTTTATCCAGTTGTTACTCCTTAATATTTTCTAGTTCCTCACTGCTTACAAGTGCTTAATCGAACCCTGCCAATGTACCAACTTGTTTACAATATTTCTGCACATATACAATAAGGTTTTTTCCACTGTTTTTAAACTTCTCATTGTCAGAGTCTCTGAGTTTTGCCATCAGTTTTGCCATTTCTGCATATTCCATAAGTTTTATTTGCCACTCTTCTATTGTTGGCAACTGTTCTTCTTTCCATCTTTTGGCTAATAGTATCCGGGCTGCTGTTGTGGCATACATAAATAATTTCTTCTATTGTCTGGGAATTTCTGTTCCTGTTACACCTAATAAAAATGCTTCTAGGTTTGTTTGTTTTTAAAAAGTTAGTTTAAACATTCTCTTCAATTCATTATATATCATTTCCCAGTAGCCTTTAATAACCTTATATTCCCATCACATATGATAGAATGTGCCCTCTTTTTCTCTGCATTTCCAGCACTTATTAGAACTTGTTTTATACATTTTAGCAAGTTTAATCGGTGTTATATACCACCGATACATCATTTTCATATAGTTCTCTTTAAGTGTGGTACATGCAGTAAATTTGAGATCCAGTTTTTCCCAATCATTCACTTGTATATTATGTCCCAGATCCTTTGCCCACTTCATTACACACTTAACCTCTTCGTCTTTATTTTTCCAATCCATCAGCAAATTATACATTTTCGACAGTAATTTCATATTATCCTCCACCATTTCCCTTTGAAATCTTGATATGGTGTAACTAAATCCTTTTTGTCATTTTTAAAAGTTTCATTTAGTTGAAAGTGTTGTAACCAATCTATTACTTTCTCTCCGATTTCCTCAAATCTTTCAACTTTGATTGATTATCCACTTCTGCTAACAGCTCTCTGTACGTTGGCCGTTTAGTCCTTATGCTAACCTTTTTTACTGATATTACTTCTGTCGGTGAGATCCACCATGGTGTCTTTTGTTCTAATACAGTGGTACCTCGGTTTACATACGCTTCAGGTTACATATGCTTCAGGTTACAGACTCCACTAACCCAGAAATAGTACCTCGGGTTAAGAACTTTGCTTCAGGATGAGAACAGAAATCGTGCTCCGGTGGTGCAGCGGCAGCAGGAAGCCCCATTAGCTAAAGTGGTGCTTCAGGTTAAGAACAGTTTCAGGTTAAGAACGGACTTCTGGAATGAATTAAGTACTTAACCTGAGGTACCACTGTAAATCCTTAAATCTCTCCCATACTTTTAAAATTGCATTTCTCATTATGTGGTTCTGGAATCCTTTGTGCACTTTGGCTTTATTATACCATAAATACGCATGCCAACCAAATCTACTGTCATGTCCTTCTAAATCTAAAAGATCTGTGTTTTCTAATTTAATCCAGTCCTGAATCCAACAGATACAGGATGCTTCATAATATATCTTTAAATCTGGTAGGGAGAAACCTGCCTCTTAATAAAAATATTCCCAAAGTGGTTAACATACAACAGCTTAAAACTCCTGTATTTTATTTAATAATCTTTAACTTACCATACAAAGTTATCTACCCTCACAATGCAGTTTGCAACATATATAATAAACATTAGAATTCCCAGTTATTAAAATAAGAAACAATAAAAATGATGCTCTCAATGGACATCAAAAGCATTTCACTGGGGATGAATTTTATCAATTTTATATGCATTATATGTCCAGAATTTCCCAGATATATCCTGAATACTATAGTCAAAAGCAGTGTCTGGGCAGAAATTGCTAAAATGTCTGGAAAAATCTGGACTTTATGGCAACCCATGTCGGCATTGTCGTTACTGGCGATTTTCCTTAAAAATAGCAGCCCTACATTATATGCTATATTATAATTAACTAATTTAAAAGGCAGAACCAACAGTAAAGATACACACTCTCTGGTCAATCAAGCCCAACTGCCTTGTGGAGTAAAAGGACTGTTGCTTGCCTCTAAAATGAAGCCAAGGAAGAATATAGACAGGGCTTTAGAGTCATACCCAAAATGATGATTAGAATCTGATCTTGGATTAACAAAGCTAAGTAATGCTATTATAATGTTTAGCTTGATCTGATTAATCATCCTATCCCGTTTCAGGTTGGACAGGTAATCTCACTCCTACCCTTCCTCTCTCTCCCCCATCTTAAGGGTAAACTAATTGGATAATTTAGAATGAATGCCGTAGTTGCCACTCCGTGATTCTCATGATCACATGTTTTCGTCCAAATAATTGTACTGATTTTCACTAAGCTTTAGATAAGACTTTCCACATTTTAAAAATCACATTGACTCTGAAACATCTGTTGGACTAAAGAAGGATTTCCTTGCTTTTATAAGGGGTTCAATGAGTAAGTTATAAGTCTTAGTGTTATTAAAATCTCAGATGTTGGACAGGCATAGGTAACTTAGCTGGTTTGCAAGCTATAACCATTCTTGGGGAAAGTGTAATCTGGCCATGTTATCCATGTCCTAACTAAAGTTATGTTTACAGTACTGTAATGCATTCCATGTGGGGTTCCCTTGGAAGATTGGAAAATTCAACTGATTCAGAACACTAGTGCAACACTACAACACTGTAGAATACTGGTTTACTGAAAGGAGAGCATTGGAATGTGGGGAGGAAAAAGTCAGTTAGGTGACAGTTGGGGAGAAGTAGTAGAGCAGAGCAGCAGATGAGAAAGATAAGAGAAAGCAGTGGACTAGAGAAACGGAGAGAGGAGGGGCAAGTGGTCCAAAGTTCAAGCAGTGGGAAAAAGTGAGCTTTTTCAGACACTGAAGACTATTATGTTTCTTTCTTTTTATCATTGATTGGCTTTTATTTCTTTTTGGAAGAAACTTAAAACACAATGAAAGAATTCCCAGTTAGTTTTTTAATTAAAATGTATGTGGACTTCCTTTTTCTTCCCGTACAATACTAAGTTTTTGACCGAACCCAAAGGGTGCTCATCAATGGTTCCTCTTCATCCTGGAGAAGAGTGACTAGTGGGGTGCCACAGGGTTCTGTCTTGGGCCCGGTCTTATTCAACATCTTTATCAACGACTTGGATGATGGACTCAAGGGCATCCTGATCAAATTTGCAGATGACACCAAACTGGGAGGGGTGGCTAACACCCCAGAGGACAGGATCACACTTCAAAACGACCTTGACAGATTAGAGAACTGGGCCAAAACAAACAAGATGAATTTTAACAGGGAGAAATGTAAAGTATTGCACTTGGGCAAAAAAAATGAAAGGCACAAATACAAGAGGGGTGACACCTGGCTTGAGAGCAGTACATGTGAAAAGGATCTAGGAGTCTTGGTTGACCACAAACTTGACATGAGCCAACAGTGTGACGCGGCAGCTAAAAAAGCCAATGCAATTCTGGGCTGCATCAATAGGAGTATAGCATCAAGATCAAGGGAAGTAATAGTGCCACTGTATTCTGCTCTGGTCAGACCTCACCTGGAGTACTGTGTCCAGTTCTAGGCACCACAGTTCAAGAAGGACACTGACAAACTGGAACGTGTCCAGAAGAGGGCAACCAAAATGGTCAAAGGCCTGGAAACGATGCCTCATGAGGAACGGCTAAGGGAGCTGGGCATGTTTAGCCTGGAGAAGAGGAGGTTAAGGGGTGATATGATAGCCATGTTCAAATATATAAAAGGATGTCACATAGAGGAGGGAGAAAGGTTGTTTTCTGCTGCTCCAGAGAAGCGGACACGGAGCAATGGATCCAAACTACAAGAAAGAAGATTCCCCCTAAACATTAGGAAGAACTTCCTGACAGTAAGAGCTGTTCGACAGTGGAATTTGCTGCCAAGGAGTGTGGTGGAGTCTCCTTCTTTGGAGGTCTTTAAGCAGAGGCTTGACAACCATATGTCAGGAGTGCTCTGATGGTGTTTCCTGCTTGGCAGGGGGTTGGACTCGATGGCCCTTGTGGTCTCTTCCAACTCTATGATTCTATGATTCTATGAACCAGGACTGATATTCCAAAAAATAAGAACATGAGAGATGCAGAATGCTGAGGGCTCCTCTGCTGCAGTTTACTTGATAATGTGTCCTAAAGGCACAGAAAAAGAGGGGAGGGCTTGCACATCAGCATTCTTTATGAGCAGGATGTGGCCAATGTACACACGGGAACATTACAAACAAGAAAATAATATTGATGACACAGTAAAAACTGGGCTGTGAACTTTTCAGTCCTGCAGCACAAAACTTTAGTTCTGAGTGCAAAATATAAATTTCCCTCAGTGAGCTTTGGCATACTATCCAGTCAGTAGGTTCAAGCTTTGGGGAGATAATAATAATTTGAGGTTATTATTCTGCTAAATTCACCTTTCACATCACCAGGCACTCACAAATCGCCCCCAATGTGTTTTGTTCTGCTAGGACAAGCCTGGACCTGCCCTGATTTATGGTTTTACATCGGGGCTGGAAGACTATTATGTTTCAAGGGGCAATCACTGATTAATTGCTCTCTACGGACTTTTAGGAGTCTAAGGATCTAAATAGCTCTTGAACACCATGCTGCTATTTTATGCCTTTCGTTTTATTGGTGGTTTTTAAAATTGTGTGTGCTGCCTTGATAATTTGATTTGGAAGCATACTGCTTCAAGGTATTGCTATTGCCTGGTATTGCCCTGCATCCGCACTTGGCCCCTGTGCCACAGCTTATTCACTATTTCTCTGCTCTTCCATTCTGGTTCTTTGTTGTGTACAGTGACGGGCATAAAGAAGGTGTGTGGAAAGAGCCTCAAGACTGCTTCTGACCTCTTTATTGGCTTGTTTGTTGAATTTGTATACCACCCTTCACCCAAAGATCTCAGGCCAGTTCACAGCATAAAAATACAAATAAAAAACACAAAATGCATAATAAAAACAAGAAAAAAAGAAAACAAACCAATAACCACCACCCTCCAGAAGCACATTTAACATGACATAAAATGTTATCAGCCAAGGCCTGGTTGATGAGGAATGTTTTCACCTGGCCTAAAGATGTATAATGAAGGTGCCAGGCAAGCCTCCTGGGAGAGCATTCCACAAATGGGGAGCCACTGCAGAAAAGGCCTGTTCTTGTCTTGACCTCTTGTGGAGGAGGCCTGCAAGGTCGGCTTATATTATTATTATTTATTCAATTTATATACCGCCGTATACCCACAGGTCTCTCATGGAGAAATATAGGATGGACAGGGCAACTGAACAGGGCACATATGCAAAGGCTTTCTTTCTTTCTTTCTTTCTTTCTTTCTTTCTTTCTTTCTTTCTTTCTTTCTTTCTTTCAAAAATATTTTTTAATTAAATTTTCCAACATACATTTATAATATCCAATCTAAATTTGTCACATATTTTCCCTTTTTGACTTCCTTCAACCTCTCTGACAATCATCCATTATTCAAATTTTTTAAAAACGCATTTCCTAATTTTATATTGCATTTTATAAACCTTCACCTCTTAGTTTTCATCAATACAATAGTCCTCTAACATTCACAGAGCCTCTTGCAATCCCACTAGCGTTATTTGCTCATCACATACACGTTTCAGATAATCTGCAAATTTTCCCCAGTCTTCGATGAACTTTTGATCTCGTAAATATCTGATCTTTCCTGTTAATTTATCCAGTTCTGCATAATCCATCAATTTCATTCTCCATTCTTCGAGCGTCGGCAATTGTTCCTGTTTCCATTTTTGGGCCAGTAGTATTCTCCCTGCTGTTACTGCATATTGAAAAAGTTTACAATCCTTTCTATTTATTTCATTTCCTAGTATACCTAAAAGAAAAGCCTCTGGTTTCTTAACAAATGTATATTTCAACTTCTTTTTCATCTCATTGTATATCATTTCCCAGAAGCCCTTCACCTTCTTACAATCCCACCACATATGATAAAATGTTCCTTCTTTTTCTTTACATTTCCAACACTTATTACATGTTTTATACATTTTTGCCAATTTTACGGGTGTGGTGTACCATCTATAAATCATTTTCATAACATTTCCCTTTAACGCAGTACATGCCGTAAATTTTATATTTTCTTTCCACAGTTTTATCCAATCATTAAACTGTATATTATAACCCAAATCTCTGGCTCAGTGTATCATAACCGATTTAACTTCCTCATCTTTTGTATACCATTGTAGCAAAATTTTATACATCTTGGACAAAATTTTATTCTCATTGTTTATTATTTCTGTTTGAAATTTAGATTCTTTTTCCTCATAACCTCTTTCTTTTAGGTCCTTTTAAAACATTTCATTAACCTGGTAATAATGCAACCAATCATACACATACTCTTTCACTTCTTCATAGGGTTTCATTTTCCATTTTCCTCCTTTTGTAATCAGTTCTTTATATGTAATCCAGTTCCCCCTCATATTGACTTTCTTAAGACGTTATAACGGAGATAGCCAGTGGGGAGTTCTTGATTCTAATAAACTTCTATATCTCTCCCATATTTCTATGAGAGATCTTCTAAAGATGTGGTTTTCAAAACCTTTGTGAATCTTTCTTTTTTCACACCATAAATATGCGTGCCAGCCAAATCTATTATCAAAACCTTCCAAATCCAATAACTCAGTATTTTTTAACTTTATCCATTCTTTCAACCAACAGAGACATGAAGCTTCATAATATAATTTCAAGTCTGGCAGGGCGAAACTTCCTCTTTCTTTTGCATCTGTTAATAACTTATACATAATTCTTGGCTTCTTACCCTGCCAGATATATCTTGAAATTGCTCTTTGCCACTCTTTAAAAAACCACTGTCCCCTTAATTATTGGAATTGTCTGAAATAAGAATAACATCTTTGGCAGCACACTCATCTTAATCGTTGAAATTCTCCCCCAAAAGGATAACTTCATTCGACACCACACCTCTAGATCTTTCTTTATTCCCTTCTACACTGGCACATAATTATTCTGAAACAAATCAATACTCTTGGGGGTTAACCAGATTCCCAGGTATTTAACTTTTTTCACCACTTCTGTCCCTGTTTGTTGTTGCATTATTTCTATTGTGCATATGCAAAGGCTTTCTTGCTTGTGATTGAAAGCCTTCTTACCCTGCCAGATATATCTTGAAATTGCTCTTTGCCACTCTTTAAAAATCACTGTCCCCTTAATTATTGGAATTGTCTGAAATAAGAATAACATCTTTGGCAGCACACTCATCATATGCAAAGGCTTTCTTGCTTGTGATTTCCAAGGCTCGCATGCAGATTATCTTTCTAATGTAAATATGTATAGCAAACGGAGTGTGCTGAATTTTTGTTCTTGTCTTCAGATAAGAAACATGGAAACAAATCAGTGTCTGGATAACATGGCAAGGAAAGAAAATGAAAAAGTTGGCATTTTTAATTGTCACGGGATGGGTGGCAATCAGGTAACAATATAAAATTCCGAAAACTAAAATATTAGATTATTAAACTGTATATAATTAGACAAGTCATTGTGTATGTGAATGTGAGAGTGCATATGTCTCTGTGTGCATGCATGAGCACTGTGTGTACATATGTGCACATATGTGCCACAGAGTGCGGAGGAAATTAATGTTTTGGGGAGTGTGCATGCATGTCTGCATGACAGTATGCTTGTGTGTGTGCGTGCATGTTTGAGTGTACAGTGTCATGCAAGAATGTATGCATCTGTAGGACTCTGTGTACATGTGTGATTGTATTTGTGCATATATGTGTGTGCACACAGATCTGTCTGTGTGAGACGGGGTGGGGGTGAGATATGTGGGGGAGTGGGAGAAAGAGGAGTGTCCCCACTTACTTGTGCTTTGGCAACTCCTTCTGCCAGTGGTATGTGGCTCCAGTCACTATCTCTCAAAGACAATGTTCCCCTTGACCTCAAAAAAAGGTTCCACAGTTACTGGGAAGTAAGCCTTGTTATATTCAGTGGTACCCACTTCAAAATGGAAATAGGATTGCACTGTACAACTTCTTTATAGTATGCTTTGATTCCTGTAGGTCTTGCTTGGAAGAATATTAATTTGACTGTTGTGAGGTTGCAAGCTTGTGCAGCTAGACGGAGATCATCCTGTTTCATGCTGTAGACCTGTTTGTTTTAGGACATGGATGGGTGCTGTTGGGCAATATGGCGGGGAAAGTTCCCCCTCAAAAAACTATTGCCCTAAAACAAAAGTTCTGCAGCGGCCCTGCCCTCTATCCAAGCACCCAGTGACGATATCTACCACTAGTTTAAGAAACTCTTTTATGCAAAGAGATTAATTATTCAAAAGCTGTTTTCCATATGTGTACATTTAGGACAGGTTTAATGTTCAGAAAAACATATAAAATGGTATATAGCATGGTAATAACAGGCTATTGCTTTCCATCAAGGTTTTCTCATATACAGCCAACAAAGAAATTCGAACAGATGATTTGTGCTTAGATGTCTCCAAACTTAATGGTCCTGTCACAATGCTCAAGTGCCACCACTTAAAAGGCAATCAACTTTGGGAATATGATCCAGTGGTAAGTTGTCTTATGACTGAAGCTCAAGTGATTAGTTATTGTGGAGAATGCTGGTTGGAACTAGGAGATGGGAGTAATAATTTAAGATAAGTAACATGATGTGTAGCATGGGTTTGACCAAACTGCGGGAGGCAGTGGAAGACAGGAGTGCCTGGCGTGCTCTGGTCCATGGGGTCACAAAGAGTCGGACACGACTAAATGACTAAACAACAACAACATGATGTGTTGCAATTTTTAAACTGTGTTGCAATTAAAGTTTCTTTTTTAGTATTGCAGTTTTGTAAGCAATGGGAGGGAACTCATTTTAGGAGATAATTCATTCCTGTGTTCCATGGATTACAAAAGACACACACACAAATTACAGCTGTACCCTAACAAATAACACTCCCTACTTTTTCCACAAACTGCAATGCTAGTTTTACCTGCTTTTCTCAAACTACAGTAATTCCTTGCATGATTAAAGGAAGCACTGGCGGCCTTGGAGCTTGCAGTCACATCCTGTTTTGTTTTCCAAAGGGCCTGAACAAAAGGTACCAATGACCTTTTTGCTGGCCACTCGAATGCAAACCCTTTCCAACTCTTCCCCATTTCTCATTCTGCAGTGGTGCATTTAAATTTCTGTTACAGCAGCATCAAGGCAAAGCTAGAAATTGCTGTTAGAACATGGTTACGGGTTGGATTAAAATGTCAATTTGTATAAAAGATTTGATAGTCAATTTCTAGTAGTACGTTTTTAAATCTGTGGGCCCGTGGTCCATTTATTACAGTGCACCTGCTCTGAGTATGATTTTTGTTAGATATTACCTAGTGTTTTAAATTGGCCCTTTTTCTTGTTGATTTAAATCATGATTTAAGTCTATGCTAAGTCATTACTTTAAAGCCCTCCTGCACTACATTGCAAGTTGCTTTTAAAACTTTAGAGTTTCAAAAGCAGTGTGCACTGCAAGGGAGGCTGCTCGTGAAAGGAAATACGTAAAAAAAAAATCCTAGACACCCTCCCACAAGCCCTTAAGAATCTTTGGTGGCATTTCCAAGATACCCAAGAGGTACTGAGTTCCATATACAGTGGTACCTCGCAAGACGAAATTAATTCGTTCCGCGAGTTTTTTCTTCTTGCGAGTTTTTTGTCTTGCGAAGCACGGTTTCCCATAGGAATGCATTGAAAATCAATCAATGCGTTACTATGGAAACCGCCTTCAGACCAGGTCCGGGGACAGTCTGTCCCCCGACCTCTTCTGAAGGCTGGGTGGGGGGGGACAAGGGCTTTTCTTCCCACTGCCAGCCTTCAGAAGGCTGTTCTGAAGGCTGGCGGTGTGAAGAAAAGCCCTTCTCCCCACCTCCCGCCCCGCAAGCTCCGGGGACAGGAGGGCTTTGTTGCCGACCGCCAGCATTTTAAAAGCCCCCGGGACAGCGGGGACTGCTGGCGGGCGGCAGCGAAGTCTCCGCTGTCCTGGGAAGGCAGGCGGGGGGGAGCAAAGACTTTTGCCCCCCGCCGGCCTTCAGAAGAGGTCCAGGACCTCTTCTGAAGGCCGGCGGTGGGCGAAAGTCTTTGCTCCCGACCGCCAGCATTTTAAAAGAGGTCCCCGGAGATTTCCCTATGGGCTTTCTTCTTGCGAAGCAAGCCCATAGGGAAATTCGTCTGGCAAAGCACCTCGAAAAACAGAAAACTCTTTCTTCTTGCGAGTTTTCCGTCTTGCGAGGCATTCATCTTGCGAGGTACCACTGTATGCTCTCTAAGGACCGCTTGGAGAGAGGAAAACACAACTATCCTTTTCCTAACAATGGTCCTAAATGAACCTACTTGACTGGTGTGAATTATCTCTACCTCTTCTAATTAAAATATACTCTCTTTTTTCCTTTCCCCTCTCCCCCGCCAAAAAAGAAATTAACCCTTTTGCATGTGAACAGTAACCAGTGCCTGGATAAAGCCACTGAAGAAGACAGCCAGGTACCCAGCATCAAAGACTGCAGCGGTGGCCGCTCTCAGCAGTGGCTTCTTCGTAACGTCACCCTTCCAGAAATATTCTGAAAGGAGTCAAAGAGGAGGATTGACTGGACTACCTCAGCAAGTACGTGGGCTACGATTTTATGTAGCAAGCAAAGGCTGCAAGGTTTATTGGCCACTGGAGCAGATTTCTAAATCTTGAAGAGCCAGCCATCCTGGTGTTAAGGGTGTGGGACTACATGAGTACTTGTGAACCTGCGCACACTGATGTTTACAAGATTGAAAATAGTTCATCAAAGAATCATTTAATAGAACATTTGGACCGTGGAAACAATCAAGGAATTATGCACTCTGGAGAGTGGCACAACCGAGTTCTCTTGTACATCAGCAGCCTTGACCAAAGGTGCTGTTACAAAGATTCTTTTACAAGGTTTAATGTTAACCAAGGTATCAAACATAAATGCAAATATAAATGGAGAAGTTTTAATATCACAAGAGGGGGGGAAATCACTGAAGCAAGAATCAGGGTTCAGAGGCAAAAAAACACACAAATCAGAACTATATAAGAAGTACAATTTGTAATACTAAATATCAGATTTATATGTAGATTTTTTACTTCGGTGGGGGGGAAATAACCAAGTGAGACACAATTTCTGTTCAATTGTGTGGTAGTCCATTAATATCCTTTCTTCCTCCCCTGATGGGTCTTGAGCTTATTAGGAGCAAAAGTAAAATTGAGTATAAATAAAATTGGCTCTTTGAATGTCAGTTCAACATTTTTAAACTTTCATTTTGGCTTGCAGGCTGTTGGAACTGTTAATACATCTTTTTTTTTAATGATCTGAAAACTGGAGATGCATCCTTTGATGTGACTTGCTATTCAGTTGTACTTGGGTCAATCAGCTTTTGACCTTCCATCACCAAATTAAGAATTTGTTAGTAAAATCTGTTAACTTGACTGATAATGCTTAATGGCCAACTCTCTTACTACTGTACTACAGGTTTTGTTTTCACAGCAATAAATCTTTCGTTTTTTGACTCCAGTCAGAGCCTACAAATATTGCTTATTCAGGTAATAAGTAGTTGACAACTGAATGTTTCTTGAAAACATTTTTTCCACTCCATACGTTGATTGCATTCATATTTAGATTGCATTTTTTGAATTGTAATGTTGATCTGCTTTTTCCCCCTAATAAAATCTAAAGAAACCTGTAGAAATGGCCTTTTAAAAATTGATGTAACTGAAGGCCCTATGATTTGCTGCTACATTAGTCCAGCATTTTGAACTTGAATAGCTTCTTTCAGCAACCTCTGAAAAATCAGAGCAGTGGGGAGTGGGTAATATTATGGTTCCTAACATTCAAAATGAGCTGTCTTTTAAAGAAGAAACATGGAAATGACTAGGACAATTTTGAAAAGAATGTGGAGTAATGTTTCCGTTCCAGTTGGTTATATGCTGCTTTGATCAGCCATTCTCTCATTTTGAACCCATTATGTGACACATCTACAAAACAGAACCAGAATGCTTTTCAACACAAAATGGGGAAGCTGTCCCCTCACAGTTCTCTCCATCATATCCCTGTTATATGCAGTTTGAGCGCTAAGTGTTTTATATAAATGTGAATCAACTGTCCTAGTAATGTTCTCTTCAGTTAAATGTTAGCTAAGTAGTCGGAACTAAGGAACCTTGATATATGCTGCAGAGCTTTTCCATGATATTTGCCTGAGTTGTTCATATCTACTATGTGCCTTTCAGATGTGTAATTTGTTTTGTAATATCACAGAGACAAGAAAAATGTCTTCTAAACTAAAGCATACTTCTAGCAGTAAGAACTGCATGTGTTCTACATTAAGACTTGCACATAAAAAGCAAGCCAGGGGGCTATTGGGCCAAGAATAATCTGCAGTTTCTCTAGAATGTTGTTTCTTTTCTTATTTCTGCATCCTGTCCTTCTAGGAACCCAGTAAGTTTGAAAGAGTTTTGCTAGCTGGGTTTCTTGCATCTCGGCAACGTTTTAGCTACTGCCAGACACTGTTTGTCCTAATCCTCAATTAATAACTCAATTTGATGACATGTACTTGATAGCAGTCTTAATGTTGCTCAAGCAGTTAACTGCAATTAGGGGCAGTGGCTAGTCGAGGAATGTCCTTGAGTGAGAACAAAATAAAACCCTTTCTCCTGCAGGGATGTCTCCGTCCATCTCTCCACTGGCAGAAAGTTAAATGTTATAGAGAATACAACTTGGGGGCTGAGACAACCCCCTTCAGTTCCACTTCCTGCCGGCTGCTCCAGGCACAGCAAAAGAGAAGAGGCGGGCATGCCATTTGAGAAGGGATTTTTCATTTGTTCTTCCTTGTCTGTTTATTCCTGGCTTCCCTTCTGTTACTCCTGATGGGTTTTATCTTTCTCCCAGCTCCATGTAACATACAGATCTGAAGACTGGAATACGAGTTATGAACAAACTAAGCCAACTAATCTTGGATCCTATATTCCTTCCTCCATTCTGATGAGCATTTTCCTTAAAGTTTGTGTATGCCTCAAGCTGGTCACTTCCTGATTTTGAAATGTGTAGCAGAGGCACTGAATAGCTCACATTAAGTGAGGCCCAGTAAATGGAGACATAAGCCTTGGCCATTAGAAAAGTGGGACTTCATTGTTAGTTCCTGTGTTCCTTTTGAGATGAATCTGAAACACCACGATTGGATCAATTCACCCTCTTTATTATGGACAATGACCAATATTCTGAAAGTTTGGTGGTATTTTATATATTTGTACAAGCCAAACAAAATAGAAAACCATAGAAATAAAATTACAGTGGTACCTCAGGTTAAGTACTTAATTCGTTCCAGAGGTCCGTACTTAACCTGAAACTGTTCTTAACCTGAAGCACCACTTTAGCTAATGGGGCCTCCTGCTGCCGCCTCGCCGCCGGAGCACGATTTCTGTTCTCACCCTGCAGCAAAGTTCTTAACCTGAAGCACTATTTCTGGGTTAGCGGAGTCTGTAACCTGAAGCGTATGGAACCTGAGGTACTATTGTACTAATAACCATACCATACTATAGAAGCCAGGCACAGAAAACAAAGTTGTAAGTCTTCTAAAATTAACAGTTGAGTATTTTTTCACGCGGCAGCAAATATCTAACCAGAGATGGATGCATTCCGATGTAAAAGCAGTGCAGAAGCATAAAATGCGTCTGATCGTACTGAGAAATTGTGTAAAAAAGCTGCAATATAAAAGCGATGCATAGGAACATGAGTTATTGATTCCGCTCCTCCAGATTAAAATGAGTATTTATGTTGACGGGGGATTTTTTGGAGCCTCCCCTGCAGAACTGCTGATGGAAGAACATCAAATGTAAAGGCTTAGCAATGTTTTTTTTAGCAGAGAGCACATAAAGGTAGTTCCCTGGTTTATAGGACTGAAGTTAGTTAGCATGCTATTTGAGGTTAAGCCTATAGCCTATTGGCATTCAATGCTAGCAATATGCTCTGTGGGTATTGCTCTGGCAGATTCATACCTCATAGGGATAAGAGAAACCCAGTGGTGTAGAGAGCCCCGGTGTTATCTGCTGCACCATGGGAGCGGGGCATGCTGGGGCGCGCTGCGCTGTTGGAGCAGCGTCCCTCCACCTGGAGGGCAGCTAAGGGGAGCGGGGCATGGGTGCGCTGGCCCTGCATTCCCTGCAAAAGCAGCACAGGGCCAGCACCCAAGCAGCAGCATGTCTCAGGTGCCCTCCAGGTGGAGGGTGGCTGAGGCGGAGGTGACAGGCGTTCACCCACTGCATCCACCTGGAGGCCAGCACATGCTGGTTGTGTCCATGTTGGCCGTCCTCTGGTAGCGGGGGAGGGGGACGACGGACGCTGTAGATTGGCACACTATGAGCCCAGCCCATGCTGCTTTGGGGAGTGGTGCACTGGGCTCTGGTGTGCCAAGGCTCGTGCGCCTGCAAAGGTAAGTGCTGCTGGGGGGTGCCCAGTCTCCCCGCCTCCCCTAGCTATGCTACTGGGTAAACCGTGGAAAACCCCTAACACTGCAACTTCACAGTCAAATATTTTATCCAAGCCGGCTGAAAACATGCTGCCAAGGATCAGGATAAGCAGGAGAGCAATAAGCAGTTTTCCTCCACTGTAAAAACCAGCTCACTGAATTGGACCAGTGGTCCCATCTCAGATTATATGGGCAGGTACCCATGAAAAGTGGCAGAATCCAAGGGGCAGTTAATTTATTATTAACTATTCTTTATTAGTAGAACTACTACTATTTTTAAAAGGTCACGTTTCCTCAGACTGACCTAAGATTGGATGGGCTAATGGGCAAGGCATTTCCTCCATGGTAGATGGTGTATAAAGCTAAAGGTCAAGGGACCCCTAACCATTAGGTCCAGTCGTGACCGACTCTGGGGTTGTGGTGCTCATCTCGCTTTATTGGCCGAGGGAGCCGGCGTACAGCTTCCGGGTCATGTGGCCAGCAGGACTAAGCCACTGCTGGCGAACCAGAGCAGCACACGGAAATGCTGTTTACCTTCCCGCCAGAGTGGTACCTATTTATCTACTTGCACTTTGACGTGCTTTTCAAACTGCTAGGTTGGCAGGAGCTGGGACTGAGCAACGGGAGCTCACCCCGTCGCGGGGATTCGAACCGCCGACCTTCCGATCGGCAAGTCCTAGGCTCTGTGGTTTAACCCACAGCGCCACCCGCGTCCCTTTAGATGGTGTATACAGTATGAGTTGATGTTTCCTTGGGAAAACCCCAGGTTCAAAGGGCCACCAAGTTGCAAAGTTCACTGTGGGTGGCCTTGGGCCACATGAGCCTAACCTACTTTGTTGTGTTCTTGTGAGGTTAAAACTGCACTCAGTTGCTTCAGGGCAGGGCAGAATGCACAGGGAATAAATGCCTGTCATTTATTGGTTTTGTTTCTATGACCCTTTGTTATGGGTGGCATCTACCATGCTCTATAATTAAGGCAAGAGAGCACTTGCCATTACAAAGAATGGAAAGTTTCACTTCATTCTATGATGCATGTTTCAGAAATAACTGGCCTGTCTGCATAATCCCTGCTTTAACTGCCCCAATTCAGCAACACTGGTCTGTAGCTGCATGGCTGCAAGTAATAGGAGGTGGAGAAGGAGTCCTTTAAAAGAGAAAGGGTGCCCAAGAGATGAGGCAGATAAAGACTTAGAGCCCGTACCCCGAGGGAAGGGGGGGGGTGAGAAACAAAGATCTCACAATAACATACTAAGCACCATTCATGTATGAAAGGGAAATCCACACCTGCAAACAGCCAATAGGCACATGTATGTGTTTACTGTAAGCCATTCTGTCAATACTGTGACGTTGCATGTACTCCATAAAGTGTGAACTTACTCTTCAGGTTTAGGTATGGCTGGAGGTTATGGATTTGGCTGAACCTGTAAGAAGAGTAGCTGCCTTGAGAAGAATGTGATCCAAGTAACACAAGCCAGAAAGCAGTTGATAGCAAGGCCTTCAATTAAGCAGTAGGAAGTCAGTGCTTATTATGTTTTGTGCAGAAGTAGGGCATTTATTTGATGAAAGACCTCTTTGCCAATTAATCATTTGGTGTTTGATGGATTCACCCATTAAGGGCACATGCTGCAACTCCTCCGTAAAGGATAAGTGACCCAGCACACATGGCCCCAAATGCATTTTGCTTTTCTCACTAGTGTTACCCATTCGCTTCCACAACGGACGGTAGATAACACATTCTCTCAACATCTGCAGTGATTGAGATGCTGCCGCCACGGCAGCACCAGATGAGTTGTCCAATGCAACTGATCCAGTGTTGTGGGATCAGTTCCAGCTAACGCAGCCTGATGACCGATTTTAAATTCTAATGTTATTACTGCTTTGATTATCAATGAACATACAATTATACAATTTTTGTAAGTCATTAGGGTCCTAACTTCTTAAGAGAGGGAACAGGTTTTAGCGTTTTGTTTTATTGAGCTGGAATTGCTTAACCTATAGGACGAAAGGGGATAGCTTGGTTTTCAGCAGCCATCAATCTGCATAAGCTCTGTCC